GTGGAGTTGCAGTGAGCCGAGATGGTGCCATGCACTCCAACCTGGCTACAGAGCAAAATTCCATCTCAAAAAAAAAAATTGCAAATCTTGAAGTGTAGGTGAGAGCACACAAGAGTCCAAATCAGCAAGTGACTTCAAGCACACAGCAGCCACCTTCCTTCCTCTGATGCGAAGGACGTGGGGTGGCCGGCCCCTTGGGACACCATCTGAAGAGTGTTTTTTTTGTCCTTAGTGGAGTGACGTTATTATACACTTAATTATCTAAATTTATATAATTATTTTTTTTTTAAAACAGGGCTCGCTCTTGCCCAGACTGGAGTGCAGTGGCACGATCTCGGCTCACTGCAACCTCTGCTTCGGGTTCAAGCAGTTCTCATGCCTCAGCCTCCCGAGTAGCTGGGATTCTAGGCGCATGCCACCATACCCCGATAATTTTTGTGTTTTTAGGTAGAAACGAGGGTTTTGCCACGTTGCCAGGTGCCACTTGAACTCCTGGTTCAAGCAATCCTCCTGCCTCAGTCTCCGGAGTAGCTGGGACTACAGGAGTATGCCACCATACCTGGCTAATTTTTGTATTTTCAGTAGAGGTGGGGTTTCACCATGTTGGCCAGGCTGGTCTCAAACTCCTGACCTCAGGTGAGCCACCTGTCTCGGCTTTCCAAGGTGCTGGGATCACATGTGTGAGCCACTGTGCACAGCCAAGATTTGCAACTCTTGTGTTTCTAAGATGTCTTCAAAAAAGTTTTAAAGTTTTTAAAATAACATTATATATATTTTCTTCAACAGGTAATACATGCAGAAGGTAGGAGGTATGAAATGCAGGAGTCAAACAGGCCCCGCCCCGCCCACCGCCCGAGGGCACAAGCCGGCCTCCCCACAGGCCGTACAGCCCGGTGCACCATCCTGATCCTCGGCCATTCCGTGCCTCAGGACCTGTGGAAAGGAAGGTTTCAGGTGGAAATTCAAGGTGCCCCGTACCCTCCCACCACACCTCCCCGCAGGGTGGGTCTGTGCTTGCAGAAACCAGAGAAAGAGAGGGCGAAAGCTAGGGCCCAGGCCGCGGTGGGCCTTCCGCCTGTAATCCCCAGCACTTTGGAGGTTGAGGCGGGTGGATCACCTAGAAGGTCAGGGGTTTCGAGATCTGTCCCATGGCTAACATGGTGAAACCGGCCGTCTCACTAAAAATTATAAACAAAATTAAGTGAGGCTATGACGGCGGTGCCTATAATCCCAGCTACTGCGGGAGGCTCGAGGCAGAAGAATCGCCTTGAAGCCTGGGAGGCGGAGGTGGCAAGTGAGCCAAGATTGTGCCAACTCGAACTCCAGCCTAGAGCGACAGAGCGAGACTGAATTCCAAAGGAAAAAAAAGGAAGGAAGACCATATCTAAGAGGGCAGGGAACGGGCCGAGCGCGGTGGCTCAGCCTGTAATTCCTCTAGCACTATTGGGAGGCACCGAGACGGGCTGGTACTCATGACAGGTCAGGAGATCGAGACCACCTGCACTAACACGGTGAAACCCCGTCTCCTACTCTAAAAAGCAAAAAAACTGCCCGGCGAGGGATGGCGGAGGCACTGAGAGTCCCAGCTACTGGGGAGGCTGAGGGCAGGAAAGGCGCAAACCACGGGAGGCGGGAGCTTGCAGTGAGCTGAGATCGCGGGACCACGCAACTCCAGCCAGCCAGGCTACAGAGCAATGACTCCGTCTCAAAAAAAAAAAAAAAAAAAAAAAAAAGAGGGA